TCGGTCCAATAGATTCGGAGATCAGCCCGTACAAACAGACAAACAGACAGAGAAACAAAAAATTTGAAAAAAACCTGGATTTGTTCTATTTGTCTTCTTACATCCCCCTGACTCGGTTTTTAGCATTTTTTGCTATGTACAGACATTCGACCTCTACTCTTTTATTATAGTATAGATTGTATAGATTCTAAAACTCAAGTATCTTATATCAAGTTGTAGTTTATTCGAGTTGTACCAATTATAATAATAACAGCACTATTATAGCTTACATGCATTCTATAAATAATCGATGGAGATTTTATGAGACACCTACAGACTGTACACAACACCTGGCTTTCAATTCAAATTAACGTATACGAAGGCTGTATACAGGCATATAATTATTGACGTGGCCTACTTGTGTCTAGAATAGATAATCTAGACGCATGTGACATGTTTCATTTAAATTTTCAGATTACAGACTATTATGACATGTGTTTTATCTCGTTACACATTACACTATAATGTTAAAAGATATATTTTGTCATACCTTTGCTATACTACAGAGTACAAAAAAAATAAAATTAGACTGTGGCTATACCATGGTCTATAGAATTTCTTTAGAAAGAGATAAAAATTAGTTTTAATTTTCTATACGTAATATTTTTTAAAGCTACTCGTATATGAAATTAATATCAGAAAGAAGGCTTTAAAAAGTATATAATTTAATAAAAGACTGTTGCACGAAAATAAAATAACCGTTTATATTCTTTTTTGGGTTATTTTTACCTCCTACATTAAAAGTTATTAACTTTAACTCTCTACACACTAGTAATATTAAAACGAATCTGATTCATTTTGATCACGGCTGTGTGTACAAACATAAGTGCACATCTATGTTTTAGACTCTCACAGTCTGGTGGGACTATAATTCGAAACGACCAATCTATTATCGACCTGCCTCAGTGGTGTAGTGGCTAGCAAGTACGGCTGCACATCCAGAGGTCCTGAGTTCGAGTCCCGGGTCGGGCCAAGTTTAGTTATTGATTCTTTCTGTTTAGTAAGCCTCAGTAATAGCCCGGAATTGGGAAGTTGGCGGTGTTTACCCCCGTGCCTCGGAGAGCACGTAAAGCCGTCGGTCCTGCGCCTCTCACTGGTTGTGTCATGTTGTCGTCCCACCGGAGTATGATAGTGACAGGAATAAAGATAAGAGAGCGCATTTGTGTCTGCGCGCACACTTGTGCATTATAATATATATAACAGATAGCTAGTCTTAATGAGATTGGGCACCGAAAGGGGTTGGGAGGACATCATATTATTACCGACCACATTTAAAGTAGGACGGATGCTACAAGTGACTCAATATGGGAGCGTAACACCGCCAACTTTCCAACTCTGAACTGTTAATGATAATTTCCTGACAGAAAATCTCAATACCTGTACTTGTCCAACTCAGTACCTCCAGATCTACAACCATACATGCTAGCCCTAAACGAATGAGGCAATTATAACATTAGTCTCTCTCGTAAGTAGTTTTGTTTACATCTATGCAAATGAATTAATCTTCATATCAACTTAACACCATGAGCACGAACCGTAATGCAACTGATGACTGCTCTTGATAATGTGTGTGAAGTGACACCTTGAAACGTCACGATCTCTCGTTGTCGTGAAACTATTCGTAAAATATTCCATATATAATTATTATATAGAGGCTACAGCCTGCGGCTTTGCTCGATTTTTCATTATTATTTACGATCAAAGTAAGTTGTTAACCTTAATTGTTAATCTAAAAAATAAAATTTAGTCAAGTTTTAATTTTTTTTATCTCTACAAGAAAATAATCCTACTGAGATTTGAACATATTTACGGCTGAACAGCCGTTTTCAAGTAATCTGCGGCTGCAGTTTAGTATATGGGACGCGGCCCCCTGGAAGAGTGGGTGGTATTTTTGGATAGGGGAGGCAATAGAGAGTCCAAATATATAAAATGATTTTAAGGATACAAAAGAGACTTAAAGTTACAATATTTCCATACATTATTTAGACATTACTGCTATTTAGACACTTGGAAATATCAAAATGTCACTTTCAATTGTCAAAATGATCTCCAGATTATGTTTTGTCGTGTTTTTAATTATACTTTGCGTGAAATTTGAATTTTCTAGTTTTCTACTCATATAATAATGGCACTCGCCGGCCGCTGCCGCGGCACGCTCGCTTCGCTCGTGCGTTGTGGTAACTGTTCTAACATAACCTAACCAAGATATGACGAATAATAAATAAATAACCTAAGTCTTAAACTAACCACGATGTCGCAAAATAAAAACCAAAAGTAAATAATACTTAGATTTTAAAAATAGTCTACTCACGTTTATAAATTGTATTAATATAATCTGCTGTCATTTAAGCGTTAATGTAAAACAGAAATTGACAGTTGTCAAAATGTAAGATCATTTTGTTTACAATAGCTACTGTTCTGAAATTATTAAAAAATTAAATACAATAAAGCCTTAATTGTGGTGGAAATATTCATTGTGCATAAAAAAGGATGTTTACTATTCGTTAAAGGTATGTTTATCTTTTGTAATCGCATAGTTAGGTAAAGAAATGTATTGGATATGTATTGGATATGTTGTAACTTAACTCTCAATAACTTTTTACTCTAACGTTTCCTAAAAAGGCTCAACTGTACAATCTATGACATCGAGTTGAAACTTCATATTTATTTCACTAATAGATCTCTTTATTAGAAGCCTATATATAAAGTTTGAGACCGCGGAAATAAATAGTTTAGTCAAAAAAAATTTCAAGTTTCAACTTTTTATGTAATTTTACCACATTTATACACGCACTTATCGATGTTTTTTACAAAGTTCGTTACAATATTCTATGTTCTGAGTTATTATCAATCATTATTATTGTAGTTAAATACATAATTTAATAGTTAAAATTATGATTTATTCGTACGTAAATACAAATATAAACTGGTACATAGTTTATTGGTTATGTGATCTATCAATGTCAGAATTAGCTAAATAGGAAAAGCGACGCCAATTTGAAATGTCAGTTTTAGTGTCAGTTGCTATTGTTTTTTATTTCCACGCAGGAAAGCTTTATCAAAATAGGTTTAGGTTATTTTTTGGCAGAAACATTTCTTTCTAGGTTGGTTAGGTTAGGTTAGAACAGTTAAAACAACGCACGAGTCGAGCGAGCGAAGCGAGCGTGCCGCGGTAGCGGCCGGCGAGTGCCAGAACGACTAGAACTTTTAGAACCTTTTTCATAATCTGTAGCCACTTTTCCGGTACCTATTATTATACACGCAAAAGTTGTCTTAAAACTGTCACCAATTGTGTTTAGGAAATTATTCTAGTTGAAATATAAAACAATGTAAATTAAACCTTAAGTGCAATGCTTAAAGTTGTTTAAACAATAATTTTAACCTCATAAATTGAAGTTTTAAAAATTAAATATCTCGAAAACTACTAGCCTCCGCTTTTTTTTCTTTTAAAGGTGTGCCCCTCTCACCCCTCCCCTCCTCCCCCACCTTCTCTCCTCCCTTAAATCGATGTCATAGATTGTACAGTTCAACCCCTAAAAATATTTTTTAAATATTTTGAATCAATGTCACCTCCCCTATCCAAAAATACCACCCGCTCCGCTAGAGGCCGCGTCCCATATACTAAACTTGTGCCTAATCTGCGATTAAATACTATTGCCTTTAGTAGCATTCTCTTTGATAATATATAAATCACGTTAGCGTTATATTTAGGCGAAAGTAAGTATAATTGGAAATAATAATATAACCTTCAGTTTTTTTATAAGATGGATGTATAAGACTTATTACTTAATTAAAACTTAACAAACCTGTTATTAATGGAAAAAATATTCTCATATCATGTTACCACAGAAAAAGATGTATCAAAACCACGTCGAATTAATAAAACATCGATACTAATTAGACGCGAGCTGTCAACCGAGTTGTCAGTCATGTGACAATTTAATGCAATTTGACAGATGACAGGGATGACAGCTGCCTACGCTAACATTCTTGCGGATGTGCTAACAGATGGTCGTGAAGTTTTATTTTATGATGACTGACTTTGATTCTGTTATAATTATATTACTAAATCATGAATTAATCATGACTTACTTTTATTATACAAAAGTATTATAATATGTATTTCCGAACATGTACTTCTATAAAAAAAACCATTTTAAATGCCATTAACGTGATCTATGATTTTAATTAACAGACTTTCTTTAATAGATATGATTCCTTAAACATAAATACGCCTAAACAAATGTTTTCTCTACATGGAATTGATTCAAATTCGATTCGAATATCATAATAATAACAATAACTACAGTATTTATTGGTTCGATTTAAAAAAAAGTAGACATTTAAAACCAAATTGGTGTTTATTTAGGCATATTATATATGTACTTAAATCACAATAAAAAAATAACTTAAAAAATGTAATCTAAAGAGGGTGTATGATTAAAAATTATCTGCGGTACATGCAAATAAAATATGATATTCGTAAATGGTTACGTTAAACATTTGTATTAAAAGAATCAACTTTAGCAAAAGATCGAATAACAATCCGTATATGACAATGATAGAAGATTGAACTTACTATAAAATTGAATACATATCTAATACGGCATCCACATTTGACAAAGATAGTGGACAGGTAATATAAAAAATGTCTTGATATCATAAATATAGTTGATTGTAATTTTTTTATTTTTATGGCTTCATCCCTTCGAATCCTATTTAAAATACCAGAATTACGTAATAAATATGTAATTTTAGTGTTTTTTATTTCTATATAATAATAAATATTTATTTTAAAACTAATCAATGGGGGCTCTATTGGAATGCTTTTACTTCTTCTTTTAGTTCTTCCGAGCGAAGCAAGTCTAAGTCACTAGAATAAAATATTTAAAATAAATAAATAAATAAATAAATAAAATCAATTATTATCAATATTTACAAGTTCTCTAATTTTGTTACAGGATCTCTTGGAAAGAATTTTCCGATTGTTTGACGTGGAACGACAAGATCATCTCGTGCAAGAAGATTGGTTTGAATTTTTAAAAGAAAGATTAAGGTAAGCTTTTTGTTTAACTTAAAAAATATATTTTTGATAGTTCACATATCATATTTTTGTTATGCAGTATTTAAATAATTACTAACATTTATTTTATAGATACTCGTAAATAATGTCCGATTCAATTTTCTTCGTAACGGCTTCAAAATGAGATGAAAATAATATGAAGATACAGATAGGCCAGAACTCGTCTTAAAATGGGCTTATATAGTAAATCATTTTTGATGGACCGTGGACGATTTATTTTGTGCTCATTCTGTTTCAAGAAGTTATTTTATGCGTCGCCATTTTAGTAAAATAATCTATACTTCTGTACTTAATATTATAAATGTGAAAGTTTGTAGGTATGGATGTTTGTTACACTTTCACGCCAGAACTGTGGCTGAACGGATCTGGATGAAATTTGACACAGAGATAGATTATACTCGTAGTATTTTTATCCCGGAACAATGTACGATACCCGTGGGACTTGGGGTTGCCAGATTAGGTATAAGGATATGGAGTATATAAAATAACAAATTGAGAAAAAAAACTACCAATGTGTTGATTGAAATAAATTCTCCTTTTTGGTACCTGTAATATTTTAAATGCAAAAATTTGTATGTGTGCCTTTTACTCCTTAATATTGGACGGATTTGGATGAAATTTAGTACAAAAATAGACTATGATTTAGAGTAACACAAAGGCTAATTGTTAGGTACCCAAATGAGGCGAGGGCATGTCGCTCGTATAATATACTATCTTGATCCCCTGTACAAACTTTCATCCTCATTTTCACCCCCTTAAGGGATGATTTCCGGGATTAAAAAGTATCCTATGTCCTTTCCAGGATCTCAAACTGTCTTCTTACCAAATTTCATCTAAATCGGTTCAGTAGATCCAGAGATTACCCCCTACAACGTCACAAACTCACAAACTACCTCTTTATATAGATAGGTGAATACAATATTTATTAATTAGTAAAAAAATATTGTTTAATTAATAAAAACTACTTTACTATATGGATAAATAGCTGACCATAATACCATTTTTGGCCACAATTGTTGCAGTGCACGTTCTCTCTATTTTATTATTTTCGTCTGAGATTTAGAGACTGAAGATCCTACTTGATGTTAACAGCGTTGGTTAGTCTACGAATACAATATAAGTTAAAGCTATGTATTAAATGTAACTATCTTTTCGGATTATGTCGCGGTTTTATTTTAATGTTTGGTTCCCGACGTTTTGAATGCTTTATAGGAAACATAGTCACGGAAGGGTATTATATCATAGTCATTTAAAATGTCAAATGTTCGCATAAATTTAAGAAAGCATTAAAGCGACGTAACTAAAATGATAAAATATATCATTTTTTTAATAATACTTTTTAATTTCATTCTCCTATTTTAATAATATCTATTTAATATGTTGTTTTTTTTTAGAGAGGAAAAGCAGTTGGATTTCGTGGAGCAAGTAGAGAGTGTTGCTTACGTGCTGTGCGGGGACGGAGACATCACGCTCGATACTTTCCAGTCTATTTTGAAGAATAAAGTGGTAATTCATTATTTATAATATACATATATATTTATAATATGTATGTATTTAAAGTTACATATGTGTAGTGTATCAACTATCTGGTATCCATAACACAAGCCTCGTAGCTTACCATGGAACTAGATGGTGCTGTGTGTTAATGTCATACATATATTATTATACGATATATTTGTAAGTATTTTATGTTATATAGAAATAAGTGTATTTAAGGTGTATGGTTATATTTTTTAACTCCTTTATGCTGACGGCATAACGGATTTCAATGAAAAGTACATAGATACTGTGGCCAGGACATTTAGGGACGCATATGAGCGAAGCGAAGTCGCTAGTATTAAATTACATAATAATATCTTTAACTTAATATCTGTACGTACAGGTAATAAATAAACTACTAAAGGTCGTGGACACCGACGGCGACGGGCACGTGACGGCTGACGAAGTCATGGAGTTCATTTCAGCGGTGTCGAGCTGCAGGTTTGGTCGATATAAATTAAATATTTATGGAATACACTTATTTGTTTATTTTTATTAAATAAAAATTCTTAGTTGTACCTGTATCGTATATATATCTATACCTGTATCGTACCTAGGTATATTGTAAGTCAATACAAGTTTAAAAAAATAATATGAGAGTGTATACATCAAACCAAACGTTTGAAAGATGCGAGCTTTATAAGTTAAACATGAGGATTTTTTTTGTATTTTGCCTATAGAAGAAGTCATCCACTTTTTCTTACGCACACTGTTTAACTTTAACAGCATATAACTCGGTCATTATTGACTTACATGAAATGTTACTTATTTCGTCTCTAGATCTCAATTTGACCCCATATTTAATGTTGATAAAAAAATTATCATCTTAATGTGATGTTCTCCTGACCGATTCCGGCCACGGCGGTTAATCTCATTGAGACTAGCCAACTGCGCAGGAGATATTATAGTGCACAAGTGTACGCCCAGACACAGGTGCACTCTCTGTGCGTGTCACTCTCATACTCCGATGGGACGACTGCTCGACACGACCGGTGAGAGTTAAGGCGCAGGACCGACGGCTTTACGTGCTCTCCGAGGCACGGGGGTAAAACGCCGCCAACTTCCCAACTCCGGGCTGTTACTGAGGCTTATTACTATGATGATGTTCTCCTAGCCGATTCCGGCTACGGCGGCCAATCTCATTGAGACTAGCCAACTGCGCAGGAGATATTATAGTGCACAAGTGTACGCGCAGACACAAGTGCACTCTCTATTCCTGTCACTCTCATATTCTGGTGGGACGACCACTCGACACGACTAGTGAGAGTTAAGGCGCAGGACCGACGGCTTTACGTGCTCTCCGAGGCACGGGGGTGAAACACCGCCAACATCCCAACTCCGGGCTGTTACTGAGGCTTACTATACAGAAAGACACAATAGCTAAACTTGGCCCGACCCGGGACTCGAACCCGGGACCTCCGGGTATGCAGCCGTACATGCTAGCCACTACACCACCGAGGCAGTTGGCATCTTAATGTATAAGTGTATGCACATAATTAATGCTGTCCTTTGCATTTTTTTTTTCTAATAAACTAAACAATTGCATATTACATGGGACATTTAACTACCAAGTTCCAGTTCGCATATGTAAATCCAATATTCAGACGGACAGATGGACATGACGAAATTATGATTCAATAATATAAATGATAAAATATATGTATTTTTTTTATTCTGAAGACCCTATGTAGGTATAGACAAGTTGAGCGTAGCGCGCTTGGAGCAGTTGTTCAGAGAAACTGCGGGAGACGAGAAGGAGATCACTCGCGAACAGTTCCAGAAGATCGTGGTGTCTAAGAATGTAAGTCGATATAACAGTAATATCATCATCATTATTCAAAATCATCATTCATTCATCATCGTCCCTTTTCAGTCCACTGTTGGACATAGACGAAACTCAGGGTGTGCCACTGAGCGCGATCTTGAGCTTTGTGCATCCAGTCTGTACCCGCCGTACGGCGCAGGTCATCGCACCAGTAATATATTGTGTTAAAGAAAATTTGAAAAAAAAAACTAAAATGGTACACGACATCTGCCTTTAAAGTCACGATAATAAAAATAATATTACGTATGAGGCTATCTAGATATTTTATTTTTTATGAGACTCCTAATGTTGGTGGACTTCACTTATCTTTTGAAAACTTGCTAGGTTCTCTCATGTCTCAGACACGCAGGATTCCTCACGATGTTTTCCTTGACCCACATAACCTGCACTCGGCCAGCGTGGTGGCCTATGCCCTGGTCACCCTCTTACTGAAAGGGAAGCCCGTGCCCAGCAGTGGGACGTTAAAAAGGGTTGAATACAATAAGCGTTAGGCCTTAGGCTTCGTCGGGGCGTCGTAGTTGAATGCGTAAGCGATCCTGCGACGCCCCATTAAGACGGGGGAAGGTTTTGTTGGGTTTTAGTGGGTAGTACTGGCTTTGCCGGTGGGTCCCACACCTCGTGCGTAAATGCATTTCCCAACATTAAAAAAAAAAAAAAAAAAGGCCTTAGGCTTAGACCACCTCCTGTGTATTATCTATTTGTTTATTTCTTCTTTTGTATATTTCTATCTATTTAGGTCTCGTAGTACGGCAACTTAATTACTTCTTTTCTATTGTCAATAATCGACAGTATAATATGTTAAATTTATTGTTTAATATCAATGTTCGTTTTGTATGTAATATTATTGTGTGTATATATTTTGAGCAATATTTTATGATAATAAAAAAAATCTATGTCTTCTTCCAGCCATTCTTCACTGAGAGAGTTTTCCAAATCTTCGACGAAGACAACTCCGGCACGATCTCGCACCACGAGTTCATCGAGGCGGTGCATCGTTTCGGACACCAGACACCGGAAGATAAGATACGCTTTTTGTTTAAAGTTTATGATTTGGATGGTGAGTTTGTAAAAAAGATGTATTTTTATTATTTACTTTGTTTAACTATTTTATATATTTTATCTGCAAAATGAACCAACCTAATTTTCTAGGCCATGTGTCTGTGTGTGAAAATAACCTTTCGACGCGTACAGGCTCTTATTGCTGCTGCACACATTGGGCCATGGTACTGGGTAGTGAAAGTCCTGTCAAAATCGGTCCAGCCGTTTCGGAGATTAGCCGGAACGGACAAAAATTTAAAAAATCTGTTTTCATAATACAAGTACCGTATAATATAATTTCGTATAGTAAAAAAATAAAATTAAATTAATTACTAAATACATATATTTAGTAATTAATTTTATTTTATTTTTATTTTTTTAATTTAACCACTTGAACCCCGCTGGTGCCTATATTAATAGGCACCACCTTACCCGCTGCACTTTTATCAGTTATTACAAGACGAAATCAGTTTATTTTATGCTAAATGAGTGATACACGCAAACATTAGAAGTTTTATGAAGTATATAAAAAAAATAAATTTAATTAAGTGCCGACAACGTTGAAAATAAACGCATCAAACATTGTTTAAATTTCAAGTGAAGCGCGCGCGATTCGCTATGATTTTTGTGTAATTGAAAATCTTTAAACTTGTGAACTTGTGCCGTAAACGTATGAATATTCATTTTCATTGTTAGTATTCATTGCCACTATTAAGATACTATTAAGTGTACAATCACGTTATAAAATTAGTTTTTTGGTCGGCACAAATTCGGTGCCTGATGATGGTAAATCACTAAATAAAAACTAATATTTTTTTTTATTTTCAGTCGTTTGTAGCATATTTCAATAGTTTTATAGTATAAATTATGTTTATTTACAAATAATACCTATGAGCTGTCAAATTTGACATATTGAACTCTCATCAAAGACGAATTAGACATTGACACATGTCGATACACATGTGTTATCGATAATCTCGATGTTTTAATATAAATGTTGAAAAAGTAAGGTTCTTTTTTGCTATTTGTTAGACACAGTGGGAAATAAAATACTCATATGTTTTATAAAATATTGTAGGTATACGTAAAAGCCTAAATACAAAGTCCAACATAATATTTTTATAATATTACACTAATATAGGAATACAAAGACGCTCGTCTATCTTAATATATATATTTCTTGTGTGCGTGTGTATGTGACTGAACTCCTCCTAAACGACTGGACCAATTTTGATGAAATTTTTTGTGTGTGTTCGTGGAGATTCGAGAATGGTTTAGATTTACAGTTTGGTCTACTGGAAAATGTTTTTTCAATTAATTTCTTATTTATAAGGAGTTGTTGATTTTGGAATGTTTTACATTAGATCCGGCGGACGGCGCTATCATCGCATTCAATATTATTCTATTTCAATTTTAGTTTGTCCCGACAGATGGTGCTACGATTAATTTGAAAAAAATTTTGTTATTCAATTCATGTGCTGATTAAAATATTAAATGTAATTATTTTTTAAAGAGTTTTGAAGTGTGTATAAATAATTTTGTGAATTCAGATGTTTTTTTAATTAATTTTTATTTGTAAGGAGTTTTTGATTTTGGAATGTTTTACATCAGATTCGACGGATGGCGCTACCATCGCATTCAATATTATTCTATTTTAATTTTAGTTTGTCCCGACAGATAGTGCTACGATCAATTTGAAAAAGTATTTCGTTATTTTGTGTTATAATTGTGTTATTCAAGTGAAGTTGCTAATTAAAATATTTAATGTAATTAGTTTTCGAAGAGTTCTGAAGTGTATATAAATAACTTATACATTTTGTAAATTTAGTGCGGAATCGAAGTGAGTATATTTTTTATAAATTATCTTTTTTAATTTACACGTGCGTTTATTAACAACCAACATAACCTTCAAGTTTATTTGTGTAGTTAGAGGATTGAATTTTTTTAATTATTTTTATTGACATTTAATTCATTTTTGGAGATATTAAATAAAAAAACTCACAAAATGCGATTACATGTTCTTTATCTAAAATTTGTCATAATAAATCTTTTGAGTTAATTAATTAAAAATTCATTATCAATAAGTAACTCATATTCATTGTATATTATTTTGCAATATATCTTTATATATATAATTCTTCTGTGAGTGTGTATGTCACTGAACTTCTCTCAAACGACTGGACCGATTTTGATGAAATTTTTTGTGTGTGTTCAAGGGGATCTGGGAATGGTTTAGATTCACAATTTGAATAATAATTTTCATCAAAAAAATTATTAAAAAAAGTTTGAAATTTTCAAATTAAAGACGTGTAGACAGGACAACGTCTGTTGGGTCCGCTAGTATCTTATATAAATAAAAATGAATGGCAATATGTTGCTAAGCGCAAACTCGATAACGGCTGGACGGGCAAGGTTCTTATGAAGAGAAAAATTAGATAAAAATCACGGAAAAACGTGAAAATCACATTTTTCGTTTTCGTTACCATTATAATTATGAACGCAACCTTAAAATTAATATAAACTATTTGAATGCATTTTTATATTTGACACTTTCTCTTTCTACGATATTCAAATTGACGTTGACTTTATTTGTTTGTCCTTTTTTCACGCCGAAATAAAGTGCCAGATTGGCGTGTTTATTTGTGTAAAGATAGAGGGCTGGAGAGTAACATAGGCTACTTTTTACCGTGGGAGATTATCTCGTTCCTATTTTGACACTGTTCAACACTAGAAGAAACTAAAACTATAAGAGCTATATTATTAAAATTCTCATTCTAAAATTATTATTTTAAAAATAAAAAGATAAGGGTGGTACTGCGTACATGAATCTAGTGAAAAATAAAACCATATAAACGGTATAAATATTTAAATTGAGGTAGATATTTCTCTTTTAATATACTTTTAACGTAAATTATTATTTGAAAAAGATCTGTGAGTAGTTTTTGAGTTATGGGATATTATTAGCTACGGGAATTTGTTAGATACGAAGATTGTCTTTTTAACCGAGTTGCAAAAAACGAGAATGTTCTCAATTCGTCGGATATTTTTTTTATGTATGTTCACCGATTACTCGAAGACGCCTAAACCAATTTGGAAAATTTTTGTATTGTTTGAAAGGGTATACTTCCCAGGTGGTCCCATATAAATTTTATCGAAATCGGTCGAGCGGTTTTTAAAAAAAATCAACAATAAATATTTTTTTAAACAAATTGTTTAATCGAATATGTTATTAATAACTTTCTTCCTACAAATTACCTGCTTATTACGTCTACACTAAAAATATAAAAATAAAAACTTAAAAAAAAAACCGACTTCCAGGCACTAATATGTAAAAAATAACTAAACGGGGGTTTTCATTTAGAATAGACACGAATAGAGCGGACAATATTTTAAGATATGAATATCTAATAGGTAAATATGTATTTTACGTATCAAAATAGGTATATTAGATTTCCTATGCGTCGGCTGGCACCGACTTCGAAAATATCTGATTAGGTATCTATTCTAAATGAAAACCCCCGTTTAGTTATTTTTTACATTTTAGTGCCTGGAAGTCGGTTTTTTTTTAAGTTTTTATTGTCATAGAAATACAATAAAATGCAAATTAAGTTATACTACTCATGAAAAGAGTATTGTAGATAAATAAATAATATAATATGTTACTTTTTTCGTAATATATTGCAAAATACATTAAAATACAGAATTTATTCATGCTATGAGAGCTAGTTATTATCTAACTTGCGTCCCAAAACTTCAACTCTCGCATTAATTCCATTTTTTATAATAATTTTATTTCTTATCTATATATATAAAAGAAAGTCGTGTTAGTTACTTCGCTTATAACTCAAGAACGGCTGAACCGATTTAGCTGAAAATTGGCAGGGAGGTAGTTTAGAGCCAGGAGAAGGACATAGGATACTTTTTATCCCGTTCGACCGCGTTCCAATTTTTATGATATTTTAATTTTTGGATTTCTCTTAGTTCGGAATAGGTAAGTATTAAAACATATAATTAAAATGTGAGAAAGAAAGATTTTTTCTTTTTATATCTATTTAAAACGTACCTAGCGACGAACCCGAGCGAAGCGAGGGTGAGCCGCTAGTATTTTTATAAAATTACATTATTTTATTGCATTTATTTTATTTTTTTAAATACTTACTTTTTCATTGTTATAAACAAATATAAAACTTGTAATAATTGTGTTTAACGGATCACGAAAATAATCGATAGCTTTCAGTGTTGTGGTGTACAGCATTACTACGCATCAAAAATCTAAATATTAGCATTTAGCACTTAGCACTACAAGTACATTATTTTTATTTTAATCAACTTCACATGGTGTTTAGTTTTTTGAATGAAAAGTGTAAAGTTTTCTTATGTGATAATGCTTGTCTTGTTTCTTTATAATTTAAGCTAAATTTGTATACAGAAACGTTAATTACTATGCAACACGAGCGTCTGTAAAAAATAACCTCAATTTTTCTCTCTTATAAGAAAAGAAATCCATCCGAATTTTAATTTCAGTGGCTTATTTTAAAGATTTATTGGTGCATGTTTTTAAAGTAAGGACTATTCTTATTTTAGTATATTTTTTATAAAAAATCCACACATAACTCGAATGATGGTTTTGAAAATTGCGCGATGAGCTGCGCAAATACAACAAATGAGGAGCGACCCGAAGGCTATAAAGTTTTGAATTTGTTTGTTACTAACAACTAATATAAATAAATCAGGAAATGGTTTGTGCGATTACATGTTTTTTCATAAAATAGTGTTTCAAATTTAGTGTAAATATACTATATTGTGGTATTGTCAGAAATCAATATACCTAATACAACAACTAGTACATTTTACTAATACTAATATATTGTCAGCTTATTTAAAAACTCAAAACAGCTTACACATTTTGAATCGATGATAAGTATATAGTTTGAATTATGAGTGTTTTTTTAGGTAATGGTGGTATCGGGGAAAAATGACGCGCGGGTATGTTGCATGTCATAAAGCGCGGGGTTCTAGTGGTTAATCATTTATTTCTGGCTATATTTACAAAAAGATCTTAAATATGTAAACAAGTAAAAAGCTCTTATTTTGGCATTACGAACAGACACTTCAATTTTATTTATACTAATATTATAAAGAAGTAAAGTTTGTGAGTTTGTGACGTTGTATGGGGTAATCTCTGGATCTACTGAACCGATTTTAAAAGTTCTTTTACCAATAGAAAGCCACGTTATTTCTGAGTGTAATAGGCCCGAAGAATGAAAAGGCTTGTTCGTGGTAGTCGGATTTGCAAAGTAATTCGGAGAAAAACGGTCGAACGAAAACGTTTCTTACGAACGCGATGAGAGATATGTGATTATGTTCTAGAGAAAAGTTGTAGAGCTTAATAATGCCTACAAAGAAGTCTGCTACAGCATATGTCTAACTTTTATATTTAAGTCACAAAAAGTAGTTTTTTATATTAAAAAAATAATTTAAATCGGTAGGTCATGTTTATTGGTCATATTATTAACAATTACGAATTCTTATGAAAATAAGTAAATTTATCGTCTTAAATGCTTAAAACAAAAAACTTTTCCCTTTTACTGCATATAATTTGGACAAATGGTTAAAGAGATAATACAACATATTCGTAGGTATGAACGAACTCGAGCGGTCTGTTTTCTGTTTGTACGGGCTAATCTCCGAAACTATTGAACCGATTTAAATTAAATTTTGCATGGTAGTACCTTATATCCCCGGTCAACATCTTAGATACTTTTCATTCAAAATTAAAGAGTTTCCGTGGGATAGTAATAGAAAAAACTATAGTAACTTATACAGCTTAGTACACAACAACTTACGCACCTAATTTAGTACCTTATATTGCCGGTCAAACAACAGGTTACTTTTCATCCCGGAAAAATGAACGGTTCCCGTGGTATAGATCTGTTTGAGATTTTCTAGAGGTGAACCCGAGCGAAGCGAGGGTGAGCCGCTAGTTTATAATAAATAGATAGTAAAAAAATAAAAATATCTTAGGTACTATTATTATAAATGTGAAAGTTTGGATGAATGTGAATCATACCAGAATGGCTGAACGGATCTGGATGAAAGGCATAGAGATAGATTATAGTCTGTCTGGAATAATGCATAGGTTACTTTTCTCCCGGGAAAATCGGAAACATCTATGATTCCGGTGGGGAACGCGGACAAAGCCACTGATCCTGCTAGTATGTTAAATAAATAAAGTAATCAATACCACTGAGTGATCGTGTGCAGGCGACGGTCTGATCCAGCAGCGCGAGCTGCAGCACGTGCTGCGCGCCTGCATGCTGGAGAACGGCATGCAGTTCAGCGATGCGCAGCTGGCGGAGCTCGCTGCCGCCATGCTGGAGGACGCCGGCGCGCTCACGTACGAGGCGCTGCGAGACCAGCTCGCCAGGCACGAGGGCCTGCTGGAGAATCTGTCCATAAGGTAATCTATCTATTAGGCAGTGCTCGGAAACCCGGTCTATGTTTAACCCGTTAAATTGAAGGGAATAAATTAGGAATTTTTGACGAATTTAGGTTCCGTGATCAAAAATAACCGGTTAAATTGAGTTTTTGTTCGCTTACATTCAGCGAATCTTTGCTAAGGATAAGTTGCTTGGTAGAAGGATACATGTATGTTTTTAACTTATAAATGAATTAACCGGTTTCCAACCTTTCTCTAAGAATAACCGTTAACCATTATCATTTCGAAATAAACCGTTGTTTTTACCGGTACCGAGTCCTGGCTTCAGCTAAGAATACATATTACGAGTACCATCGTAGGATAACAATAATATAACTTCGATATACGTATTCCTTGCATATATCAGAGATGAGCCCAAGGGAAATTCAACAGGTACTATAAGGAACTACTATGAGGTGATACCGACATCTCTCCCAAAAGCACTAAACGCTTTATTTAATCACATATTATATTATATAGATTTAATTACTTCCAGTATAAAATTGTAATGTCAATTGTTTATGGTTCTTTGCTCTTATTTTTAATCTGGCGCTAATTGGCGTTATAAATACTAGTAGCTAACTTTAAATGTCATCACTCTCTTCCTTTGCAACCACCTAACGGACAATATTAAATAAATTAGTTAAAGATTTCTCAGTTAAAGAGTTCTGGGCTTCCATTTTGCTCCAAAATGTACCTAAATATGCTTAATACATCATTAAAAATTATTCAAATATATTAATTTCTTTCATTAAAACACTCATAAAAAAAATACTTAACTATACTAAATCTTTCGTAACTCAGTAACAATTTTGGCTCGACCTACAACTCGAACTCAGGACTTCCCTATTAGCAGTCATTCTAGCCATTAGACATTTGGCCGTTGCAGCAATACTCGTATTTAACGACTTTAAACTATTTTATTAAAAACTAGCGGCGCACCCTCGCTTCGCTCGGGTTTGTAGCTAGGTACGTTTTAAATAGATATAAATAGTTATCAGCCAGCGTTAGCCATATGAATTTGAATTTTTTTTTGTTAATAATATTGACAAATATTGACATTACTCGTAATATTTATACGGTTCTAATGTCACTCAATTACCATCAATGTTTTGCCTTCCCGGAACCTCTCCACTAACACTGAAACTTTATGTTGTGGTATTAAAGTTCAAATTGACTTTTAAGTATTATTACGAATCTTTTGTATGGGAGTATAGAAAAGTGTTGTTTTTAAACTTTTTCAGGCAATTTTTTAAATTTTTCTCTCCGTAAGAACCATCCTCGTACTTCAAGGAATATTTAAAAAAAAATAGCGAAATCGGTTCAGCTGCTCTCGAGATTTGCGCTTTCGATTGACGACATTGAGCGATTCATATTTATATTATAGATAGAAATAAAAATCGTGCTTAAAATTCAACGCCTTATATTGTCACTATATTCTTCTTTTTACAAATTTGTCATAAAATATAATTTATAAAAAGGTTAATAAAATAGGTCTTAATAAAAATAGAAAAGTATAAAAAGGATGTGTGTGTATATATATGTATGTGCCTATATCACCGTCTATATATATTTATGCCTACAGACCAATAAGACAATAAGGATTTTTCTATTTTAATATTACAGTATGTATGTAAACCATGAGAGCGTGAAGCTAAAACATAATTAATTAATTAGCATAGACCGATGGCTGGTGCCGCCCACGCCGGAGCCGGAGCCGACCTCGCTGTACCAGCGGCTGCGCAAGATGAAGCCCTACCAGCTCTCCCTCTCGTATTTCCGCAACAACTACGTGTATGTCTCGTACTTAATGGTGTTCTTTGCGATCAACGTCGGTCTGTTTGCGGCGAGAGTGGTGGAGTATTGGCTATCTAATGTTTTCGTTATATTTGCGAGGGCGTGTGGTGAGCGTTTTTTTTTTATTTTTGTATATATATTTTTTTAATTTATTTATTTATGTACCAGAAAAAAAACCATACAAGTTAAAACAGATACCATGTGTATATTTTTTTTATAGTTTTATGATTGAAATGTTAAAATATTTGTCTTATTTTTTTTGTTCTGAAGTTATATCATTTGTAGTTTTTGCAGATAAAATTGAATATTTGTAGTTTTTTAATAGCGATAGAAATTCGACAAAATGGGTAATATTTACAAAGAAATTGATGAACATGACTGACCCTCACTACAGGCCAATGCCTTAACTTCTGCACGTGATTTAATGTTCACGCTCTAATTGCAGTTATTTTCTTCTCATACCGCAAATTCTATCCCAGCTTTTTGAAACAATTTGTATATACGTACAATATTAGGATGCGACATTAGCCCGATACCCTTCCTGACACCAGTGCCCCAACTTCACATGCACATGCGTGGTTACTGGTTACTGCTAAATGATGATACTCTCATACTGCAAATTCATTAAGCTACTGTTTGTTATATTACTTCAAATTTTTATTTCCGAAAAGGAAAACAATATACAAAAAAAATGTATGTAAGCAAATAGCAAATATGAACCCCCGTCCCCCCAGGCCAGTGCCTCAACTTCACGTGCACGTGGCTGCTGGTGCTGATGCTGCGGCGCTCGATGACGGCGCTGCGCGCGCTGCCGGTGGGCGCGCTGCTGCCGCTCGACCATCACGTGTACCTGCATAAGCTCACCGGCGTGCTCGTGCTCGCCTACAGCGCCGTGCACGCCGTCATGCACATCTGCAACTTCAGTGAGTGTTAACAACAATGTATTTTCATTAACATTTTTCAGATGCTTCGGTGTAGAGAAATATGTTGATAATTGTGTCGTTCAGGTCGGTATTGGTCATGGCACTTAGTTTCTCCAGCACAGTTTTCTGTGTGACTATCTGTATCCAGGGTCGGTCGTGGTGTTCTCTGTATAACATTTTGCATATAGTTTTGTCTATGTCTGCGCAGCCCTGGTGGTGGTGTACGACCCGGAGCTGAATCCGCGCAACCTGACGGCGGGCGAGTGGCTGTGCACGGTGCGGCCCGGCGTGCTGGGGCTGTGCGCCGGCTGCGCCAACCCCACGGGCTTGGCGCTGGCCGCCGCGCTGCTCGGCCTCGCGCTGTCCTCGCGCCCGGCGCTGCGACACGGTGGATGCTTCGAGGTGATACATACACACGCACACTAGGTGCGAGAGTTATAACCGTTTAATTAGAATCATAAACGATTAGTAAAGAATATAATAATTGTTTTTTAATTAAAATATAAATATTATAGGGTCCCTAATAAAACTTCGAGATATTCCTTGCTTATATTCTTATATTCAGTACTCTTATAATCGTCATTGAATTACCTAATTTATAATCATAATTTTCAGTATTACAAACAATTCCTGACTAGTCACTACAGAGTGGTACCGACGCGACGTCTCTGTGCAAAAGCGCGGGAAAACCAATGAATATCCGCACCCTTTTTTATTTTTTTTAAACACATTCCTATCGGCCAAGGTCACATAAGTAAATTCCTTATACATAAATCATTACAAATTAATCAATTATAAATATATTATTTTCTATTAAAACACTCAATATATAAAAATACAACCTTACAATAGTTATAAATTATAATTAAAACATTATTATTTATTATGTTTATCCTTTTTGGTTCAATAGTCATGGGTAAAGTAGTATTCTTTTTAGTTAATACTTAATGAGTAAAATGGTGTTGTTGGTGGTATATAATATACTTAATTAATTATTCTAATTAAAAACATATTTTATTCAATAGGTTAAGTATGTGGCGAAACACTAAAATAGTTTTTATATGTTGTTTCGTTTCGCCCGTTTAAAAAGGAGATGAAGAAAGTTAAGTTGACATTCGTCATGTAAAAAATTTATATTACTTTTGCTCACATAAAACGGATGTAAATATCTCTATTTGAGTTGGTTTTAATTTCTTCCATACTCCAAAAGTACATCTATAAAATATTCCTTTAGTTCTTTGTTAAAGTCTTACTGCTACATGCAAAAAATTGTTCGTGCACTAGGAAACCATATACGTAGAAGCTGTAACGACTTTTTATAACCTAAAATACTATATTTAATTACCTAAAACGCATTAATTTCAGATATTCTACTTTGCACATCTTCTGTACATACCGTTCTACATACTACTGATCCTCCACGCGCCCAACTTCTGGAAGTGGTTCCTGGTGCCGGGGGTTATCTACATCATAGAGAAGACCATGAAGTTGGCTTGGATGAGGTAACTATGGGTTTACTTATTATATTTTACTTTTTAATTATTGTACTACTTAATCTTATTAATTGATGCTATGGTATTACATTATAAATTATAAATAAATCTTGTTATGACTACTTTTACATTTTAATCATGTTTCTAAATCATTATTTGAAGTCTCTAAAGCATTTCTGTAAGCACGACTCTATAACCTCGAAGCCATGTTGTCACAGACATATTGCACTCAGATCTTAATTATTTACATGATCTCTGACAATATTATTATAGTGTAAAATGGGATATTTACCATGTTTGTCACTTACTTCTGAGAGTTCACGATGTTAAGGCACTGTTAAAAACGCCATGGTCACGGGTATACTGACCATGACACTAAACATGGTAAATATCCCGTTTTACATGATATTAATGTTGTATTTAGATAGGTTTTAAATTTGTAAAAAGTTGATTCATACGATAATATTACGTAAGCTGAATTTCTGTAATTATTAACCTCCCTACCTCTTGTCAGCAAAAGTAAGCAAAGCTCTTAATCCCTCTTTCTATGCTTACGTAAACATTACATGTCAATTATTTTGGGGAATCCCTGAACATGATTTTTACTTTGAGCATAGACAAGTAGCGTTGTCATGTGTGTTTTGAAAACATTGATTTAATAAATCAATATCTACCATATGCATCTGAAATTATATGCGGTACTCTTAGATTATTTATAAGAAAGACACCATGTTTTAAATTTTTGTCTGTCTGTCTGAAACGGCTGGACTGATTTTGACGGGACTTTTACTGGAAGATAGCTGATGTTATAAGGAGTAACATAGGCAACTTTTATTTAAAAAAAAAGAATTAGAGTTCCACTCAAAAAAATTAAAACGTAGTCAGGGACGAACCTTTTTTTTTTTTTTCAGGGACGAACCTGAGCGAAGAGAGGTTGAGTCGCTAGTATTACATAACTTTTTATAAAGAATAAAATCATTATTTTTATTATAACTCGCACCGCACGCTCGCAGGTCGGGGCGCGGCAAGACGTACGCGGTATCGGGCGCGCTGCTGCCGTCGCGCGTCACGCACGTGGTGCTGCGCCGGCCGCCGCACTTCGACTTCCGCGCCGGCGACTACGTGTTCGTCAACGTGCCCGCCGTCGCGCTCTACGAGTGGCACCCCTTCACCATCAGCAGCGCGCCCGAGCACCATGGTCGGTATGCTCGCCGAAACTTGCGGCCGTCAATTGCCGACACTGGCCGACATTCACGAGAAACGACGACATTGAGGAGTCTAACGCTACACTTGTAGACTAGTCGAAGTTCACTTTACATGCCAACATTAATAGATCAGGCAACGGCGTGGTAACGCGCTCCCTTGGGTAACCAATGAAACGGGTTCATTCCCGGGTCTCGTACTTTTTTATGTGCGAATCATTTGCAAAATAATGATTACCACTTGTCTTACGTTGAAAGAAAACATCTAAGAAATTTAAAAAAAATACCTATAGAGATAAACTTAAAAACCAAAATCTTATAAACCCAAATACGCGATTTGATCCAAATCGTAACAGCCGTTTCCGAGATACACCAAATAAAACAAATATACAAGTGTAGCGATCTTTACCACTACAGGGAAACCTCACTATGTATAAGTTTATCACTGGCTCACCACTACACCCAGATCCGAGCGCAAGCGCACATCCCACTCACACCGCGTATACAACAGACTACCCGATCGGGTGACTTTGACAGTTACACCCTCTCTCGGGGTACATAAGACAACGTATTATATCTACTTAATAGATACAAACACTGCAACAAGAATTGCTATTAATATTAAAAGATAACAGAAAAACATATAAACATAATATGTAAACGTTAACATCGCAGACTACCTGTGGCTGCACATCCGCGGCGTCGGCGAGTGGACCAACCGCCTCTACGCGTACTTCGAGGAGCAGCAGCGCCGGGCGCAGGCCGCCGACAGACACGAGTGAGTGTTGGTACTCTCCTTTGTATTGGAAATTGGATTGTGACATCCAAACAACTTAATTTTAAAGGACCAAGAATGACAAGTGGTTATATAAAATAGAAATTTATTATATACTAGCACATTAGAAAAACAAAATCAAATCTATCCCTCGGGAACCGTATATTTTTCCGGGATAAAATGTAGCTTATGTGTTATTCCAGACTATAATCTATCTCTGTGCTAAATTTCATCCAGATCCGTTTAGCCATTCTGGCGTGGAAAAGTAACAAACATAATATGACCAAAAACCAAATTCTTAAGTTTTACATGTTAGTATACTCTTACAATGCAGTTTTTGTATTTTTTCTCAGAAATGAGATATTTTCCCGCGGTAAAAGGTGTTCTATTTATTGACCCGGATAAACAGCTATCACCATACGCAATTACATCAAAATCCGTCCAGTGGTTTTTCTGTGATGCGGTAACAGACAGACAAAAAATCTAAAAACTATAGATTCGGCCTCTGTATCGATAATAATGTTTGTTTCACTAAGATTTTCCAAAAATTATTTAATGTACAGATTTGTCTTAGTTACAATTTTATTATATGTATAGATTATGTTATATTATATTGTTTTCAGGAAAGAGTCTCGTCGTGGGTCCGCACTTAGCTGTAGGAGCCGCCGCAAGAGCTCCTCCAGCAAGAAGCGGTCGGTGGACTTCTCGCCCTTCGCGTACGCAAACGACGCCTTCACCATTGAGGAGGAAACTAAAAACGAAGAACCTGGTAATCAACCTTTTATTATTAACTAGCCACTTACCCTCGCTTCGCTCCGGTACGTTTTAATTTGATTTGAGCGGAACCGTAATTCTTTTTCCAAAAAAAAGTAATCTAAGTTACTCCTTATAATATGAGCGAACTGCCAGTGAAAGTTTCGTCAAAACCAGTCCAGCCGATTCGAAGATTAGCCGGAACAAACAGACAGACAGTCAGACAGGCAGACAGATAGGCAGTCAATTTTTTTTTAAATTGTGTTTTTCTCGAAATGTCGTAGGCATAGAATTTCATATGCATTTAGTAAAAAGCTTTTATTTCGACTTTACAAAAAGACACTTCATTTTATTTACCTGTATAGATGCGAAAGCTTCTATTTGTGTATTTTTGTTACCCCTTCACGCGGAAATGGTTGGACGGATTCGGATGAAACTTATTATATACCTTTCTTTGGAATTTAGGGACGCACACGAGCGAAGCAGGAGTAAGTCAATAAGTCTGTCTATAAAAAAATTACGTTTATCTGTTTTATGGTGTGCCATGTGTAATGGGATTTTTATGATGTTTTCAAAATACTTTTGTGAGCACCAAATAGTTTAGCACTGTTGTACAAGCGTTCATGGACATACTAAAGTAGCTGTAGGTGGAAGATATACGCACACCAAGTCACACTCTTTTTAATTCGTTTTCCACGTCCGTGATCAATACCACTGTCACGTAGTTCGTATTATAATATAACTTACTTTGATTACTAGTAATAGTATACAATAAAGAAGATAGCAGAGTACCCATTTTTCCTCTTGAGATATTACTCAGTACAAAGCACCACACGACTTAAAATGTCAAATAATAGCATAAATGTAAGACATAAAAATACCTGTCCCCTCCCAGCCGCGTCACCTCCACCTTTACTGTCGCGCCCGTCGTTCCTGTCGCCGCTGCGGCTGCTGGAGAAGTCGCGCTCGATGCCGGACGTGCGCTCCAGCAAGAAGAGGATACACGCGTGAGTTGCTTTGTTCTTTGTGTAATGTACATTTTTCCGTACACAAAGGGTAAAACGGGGCCCTATTACTAAAACTCCGCTGTCCGTCCGCCTGTCTGTCCGTCTGTCACCAGGCTGTATCTCATGAACCGTGAAAGTTAGGCAGTTGAAATTTACACAGATGATGTATTTCTGTTGCCATTATAACAACACATATTAAAAAACAGAATAAAATTAATATTTAAGGGGGCTCCCATACAACAGACATGATTTTTTTGCCGTTTTTATAGATAATGGTACGGGACCCGATTTCGACTCGCACTTGACTTGTTTTAATTTATATAAGTGTGAATATTTATTATTATTATGTAACTAGCGACTCAACCTCGCTTCACTCGGGTTCGTCCCTCGGTATATTTTGACGCTTACCAAATAAAAAGACCGACAGATAGATAGATAGAGTTACTTTCGCGTTTATAATGTAAAAAAAAATATATGGATATGGATTTAAAGAAATTATTTCATCATTGATTAAAAAATATATACTTTTTTTACAAAACTAAGACTACTTTATATAAATTTATCACAAGGAATCACGTTCATACTTTTTGAAAATTAGTATCATATAAGTGTTAAGTTACTACAATAAATAACTACTCTTCACTACTTATACCCTCCTAGTCTCCACGAATACCACCGCTCGGAGTCCACGTTCACATTGCCCGAGGGTCGTCGCGACGGGAGTGGTGGGGGTGTTTCGGGGGGTGCTGGGGGTGTTCCCGGAAAAACTGGGTGTGTTAGAGGTGGTGGGGGTGCTGCCCTTTCCTTGGCGCATAGTTTCCGCTACATGAGGACGAAACCCCCTATCATCGCATGTAAACCCCCCAGTGAAGAGAGGAGGCGGTCTAATGAGAGTATTTTAAGTATTGGTAAGTTGTTTATCTACATAATTGGCTACGACAATGACACGTTTGACTAAGTTTGTAGTGACCCTACTGGCTGTGCCAGCGGTCACGGGTTCGAGTCCCACTAGAGGTATTCATTTGTATGATGAGCACGAATGTTTGTACTCCATTCGTGGGTGTTTATAATATGTATGTATTTAAAGTTTTATATGTGTAGTGCATCAACTATTTGGTATCCATAACACAAGCCTCGTAGCTTACCATGGAACTAGATGGTGCTCTTTGTTAATATACCAACATATTTATTTATTATTATTTATATTAATATATGGAGGTAAATTTTTTAAGTTTGTATTTAGAAGCTAATCTATGAAACTATTGATCAGATTAAAAAAAAATACGAATAAGTATCTATACGTCAAGCTTGGTTAACCTGGCAGTGAAAGGCTAGCAGAATCAATCGAAAGATACATGTGATTTTGTAGCTAAATAGTTGCTAAAACGCCGATTTTGTTGCTTTATCTAATTTAAAAAAAAAGAGTTTACAGATTTCTTAACAATAAGCTAGCAGTAAACACATCAGAATTTGTTGCTAATTTGTTGTTCAAAAATAATATAGGAAAATTTGAAAAAAGCCCTATTTCAACATCTTCATCTTCAACAGGTTAGGTTCAACATTCACGACAAAATCCTCGACATCGTCTTGTCAATGAAAACCGCGTGTTACCGACTAGTACTCGTAATAGGCCATATTTGGAACGACATTTTTTATTATTTATTAAGATCACTTCATGTGTCGTTATCACAAGTACCAGGCCCGCATAAGTATCGAGGAGTGTATGTTGTAAGGAATTCATATGCACTCTGTGCTTTTATTTAATGAGCTTCAAACTTCGTTCATACCCCCTGTCCCACGACACTGACCGACTTTGTTATTATTTATTAAAAAGAAATCCTATGATTTAATTCATGAAATAAATTATGTCACTCACTAATTCAGAAACTTCCATGTTGCAATAAAAACTTTTTATTTAAAATTCATTTAATTAATACAGTTAATATTTTCCCCAGCAAGACGCCGTCTTTCAAAGAGTATATCGCCAGACAAAGACGACGTCAATGAGAAGCCCGATATCAACATTGAGTCTCCTTCCGACGCGCCTGAAGAAAGCGATGACAACTATCATATCACCAGACCTTTAGAGGTGAGTATTGTAGTTTAGAAGCTAAAATGAAATATTAATAAATACAAATAATAATTTATTCCTTTTCTAACGTGCCACTGCTGGGCTTGGGCCTCTCTTTATTGCAAGAGAAATCAGGCCATAGTCCACCACGCTGGCCAAGTGCGAGCGGACTATGTCTTTCGAAAACTTATTTATTTTGATTTTTGGTTCCCAACATTTCGAATAGTTAACAGCAATCATGGTCACGTGAGACATCTTAAACCTTAGTCCCTCCGGTGACCATGATTGATGTAAAGCACTCGAAACGTCGGTAACCAAAAATCAAAATAAATCTGCGAACAAATTCGAAAATATAGTTTTATTCAAAATGTCAAATATTCACGTAAATCTAAGAAAGTATTATATTAAATAGTATTCACGTTAAAAATAATTCGCACTTGAAACTCCCACAGGTGCGAGGACCCGAAGTTTGATTTTAATTTGCTAAATTTGGTTTTTTCAAGTAAGCTCGTTAAAACTGGACTACCATTGCTTTCTTAGTAAATAAGTTGAATGATTAATTAACAATAATGTTATCATTTATACTTATATGTAGGTACTTGTTCTATCTACGAGTAATTATATTCGAAACAGAAAACATTAGATTTTTAAGTTATGCTAAAAATATTATTGTGATAAAAGATAATAAATAAATAAATAAATAAAGCCTTTATTGCTGTTTTCAATTGTTACAATATAATACATGTTTATTACATTTGTTACCGACGATCGGTTTTTTCCACAACAGCTTGTCGTTCGACAAAGGCCTCCTCCAAAGAATTCCATTTATCTCTGTCTCTTGCAATTCTGATCCATTCTGGACCGGCAACTCTTTTGAAGTCATCTTCCCAGCGTTTCATTTGTCGACCTTTACTTCTTTTGCCATCTCTGGGGTACCACTCTGATATTCTTCTAGTCCATTTCTCATTTTTCTCTCTTATCATATGTCCTGCCCATTTCCATTTAAGTGTTTTGCATACTTTATTTACATCTTTAAATTTAGTTATATTTTTAATTTTGTTTAATCTTATTTTATCTTTCCTTCTTACTCCTATTACACTTCTCTCTATTCCATTTTGACATACGATTATTTTGTTAGTTAGTTTCTCTGTTAATGACCATGTTTGACAGCCATATGTTAAACATGGCAAAATGCACATGTTATATACTTTCCTTTTATCTTTAATTGGCATGTCTTTGTTTTTCATAATTTCACTAAGAGACCAAAATCTTTTCCATGTGTTGGCTATTCTTCTGTCAATTTCTTTATGCATAATATCCCGTGTAGCTATTAGGTGCCCTAGGTATATGTACTCATCTACGTATTCTATTTTCTGCATGTTCACAATGATGTTGTATGTTTGTGAGGCATTAGTCATAATTTTTGTTTTTGTTGTGTTCATTGAGAGCCCTGCTTTTATGCTTTGATCTGATAGTTGTTGTAGCATTTGTTCTAGTTTTTTTGGACATTCTGAGAACAGAATTAGATCATCTGCGAAACGTAAGTGGTTCAGGTTTTCACCGTTTATGTTAAGTCCGTTTTTATTCCAATCGAGGTTTTTGAATATCATCTCCAAGGCAGCCGAGAACAGCTTGGGTGAAATTGGGTCGCCCTGTCGGACACCTCTTTCTATAGGAAACTCCTCTCCTGTTGCTTCCAGCCTGATTTGGGCTGTGCTTTTTGAGTATATACTCTTAAGTATTCTTATGTACTTTTCCTGTATGCCTTGAGAACGCAATGCTTCCCAGATGTATTGATGTTCTAAAGAATCGAAGGCCTTGTTGTAATCTACAAATCCTAAATAGTAAGTTTTATTATATTCTTTGTATTTCTGTAGGACTTGTCTTAAAACATGTATATGATCTACTGTTGAGTATTTACTACGGAACCCCGCTTGTTCTTTCGGTTGGTTGTCATCGAGTGTAGATGTGATTCTGGACAAAATTATTTTAGAAAAGACTTTGTAGATATTCGACATCAGGCTGATTGGTCGATAATTTGCTATTTCTCCTCTATCTCCTTTTTTATGGAGTAGAATTATGGTCGATTTGGTCCAATCTGTAGGAATATTTTCAGTCTCTATGATTTCATTAAATATTTCTGTTAGTGTAGGAGCAATGATCGGTAGGGTAGCTTTTAGTAGTTCGTTCGTTATTTGATCGGTTCCAGGAGTCTTGTCTCTCTTTTGTGTATTAATCGCTTTTATTGTTTCCTCTTTTAAAATTTTTGGTATCGGTTCAAAATCTGTTACGTTTCTCTCTGTTATCCCTTCTTTTGGGTTCTTACTTTGGTACAAGTTTCGGTTATAGTTTGTAGCTGTTTTAAGCATTTCTGGTCTTTTATTTGTATAGTTTCCGTCTTTAGTCTTCAACTTTATCATCCAATCTTTTTTAGAGTTCAATTCTTTAATAGCCTTTTTTGTTCCGCCAGTTTTTTCGATGTGATTTTTCAATGTATTTTGTCTTTTTAGTTTCTTATCTTTTCTTATACTTTCATTTATCTCTTTGCTAATTTCTGCTATTTTATAGCGGTTTACTTTGTTTTCTTTTCTTTGTAATAATTCTTTCCTCTCCTGCAGCAGTTGTTGTGTCTTATCAGAAACAATCCCTTTGCTTCTTGGATTTACTTTCTTGGTTTCTGGTTGTAAAATGTTAATAAATTTTTCGTGATAAAAGATATTATTCTATTATTATTCAGATTGATTGATAAATCATAGAATTAAATATTCTTGTAATTAAATTACAATTATTGTCTGCATGGTCATGTCACGACTTCATATTATAATGTGTTCACGATCAATGCCAACCGTACGTACCAGGTCCATACACACGCAGTATTTATGACAGTCTGCATCGGAAAAAAAGTTTTATTTAAAATGTCCAATATTCGCGTAAAAGTATGAGGTTTACGATCGATGGTCACTGCCCAGTACCCACTAGTATTTAGTAATACGAGTATATATCTAGACGGTTCGTTATACGTTGCATCATACATTCACGAAGTACATGTAAGAAAGTCCTTACTATGCACACACTCAGTGACTCAACCCCGCAAGGGATATAGTGTGAAGAACATAATAGCACTCCCAATATTGGCGTAAATGAATATTGGGAAAATTATAATAATTTATACTAATATTATAAAGAGGTAAAGTTTGTGAGATTGTAAGTTTGTGACGTTGTAGGGGGTAATCTCAGGATGTAATGAACCGATTAAGATGAAATTTTGTAAGAAGACAGTTTGAGTCCCTGGAAAGGATATAGGATAGTTTTTATCCTAAGGGGGGTGAAAATGGGGATGAAGTTTTGTATTGGGAAGCGAGCTCGTAAAGTATAATTTTGGCAATGTCCGATCGGCGTCGGCGGGCTACAGGTGTACCTGGACGGGCCGTACGGCGCGCCGTCGTCGCACATCTTCCGCGCGTCGCACGCCGTGCTGGTGGCGGCTGGCATCGGCGTGACGCCCTTCGCGTCGCTGCTGCAGACCGTCATGCTGCGCCACCGCGCCGCGCGCCGCCGCTGCCTGCGCTGCGCCGCCGCGCTGCCGCCGGCCGCCAGCCCCGGCATGAACCTCAAGAAGGTGACGCACCGACACACACACACACACACACACGCGCGCGCAGACACGCAACTGTAGTGCTCATATAGTAGGGACTCACGTGTTGTCCCACATGAGCCTCAGGAAGGTTATATTAAATGATTCCCATACTACAACCATAGACTACTAATTCATATAATATTTTTTTTGCCAAATGTCTCATCCATTGAATCTTATAGAGAAGATACATATTATCAAACAAGTGTGTTATACCACAGATTATATAATACTGTTATACACACTTGTATGATAATTTGTATCTTCACACGTTCATATTTAAAACCACACTATAAAATACCAAAAGAAAGATTGTAAAAAAAATCCGTTTCTTCATTACAAACAGCTTAGAAGATAAAATCGATATCAACAAACTATAATTTTGTTAAATAACACAGGAATATTCAGTGTTTAGGTATACTATTCCGAAAACAGTCATTTAAACTTAAACATTATTCCTCATACAATCAAGTATCAAAACATCCAAAGTTCTTTCTCTTGAAAATAAGTCATATTGTAAAGTTGAAACTACATAATATATAAAAAAATATAAGTACTTTCTTATTTAACTGTACCTAATAACTATTTTTTTAGGTGGACTTCTTCTGGATAAACCGCGAGCAACGTTCTTTCGAATGGTTTGTCTCACTCCTCTCTCAGCTAGAGATGGAACAAGCGGAAGATGAAGCTCTAGCTGCAGAATTAGAAGAGATGAAAGGAAAGGGAGAGGGAGAAGGAGAAGGACAGGAGGACAAGGAGAAAGCAAAAGAAAATTCTCGCTTTCTAGAAATGCACATGTATATAACAAGCGCGTTACAAAAGAGCGATATGAAGGCGGTGGGATTGCAACTCGCATTGGACTTGTTACATGAAAAGGTAAATTATTATAAATATTTATTTTACTTTACTATTTGGACTACTATTAAAATGGCGATAATTTGTATGAGTGTATGTTTGTCCTTCACGTTGAAATGGCTGGATTGATTTCGATGAAATTTAGTACATACATAGGTTAAATAATTAGTAACTATTATTAAGCCACAATATTTGAATTTATGTTAGATTAGAATTATTTTGACAGAATATTGGAGTTGTGAAAGCATTGAACTTTGATGTATTTCATTTACACTTACATTTTAGTGCCTGGAAGTCGGTTTTTTTTAAGTTTTTATAGCACAATACAAAGCGATATAAAAAAGTTGTTAGAAATGACAAAAAGTGTTAAATATAAATGACTTTTATCGATTTATACTGTTACTAGCGACTCACCCTCGCTTCGCTCGGATTCGCATCTAGGTAGATTCGCCATACAAACTTTCATCCCTCGAGATTCTTACCACCTTTAGAGATGATTTCCGGGATAAAAACTATCCTATGCTCTTCCCACGGTCTCTAAATATCTTCTTACCAAACATCTAAATCGGTTCAGTAGTTCCAGAGATTACTTCTTACAAACAAACTCACAGACTTACAAACTTTAGTATGATTTTTGTGAGAGAATGTATCGATATAATATAATATTATGTATACTCATATATAATAAGAATATATATAAATATATTATTATATATTTATCAGTTTATTACTACATCTACTTGAAAATTTTGTTTTTATACATTTTCATATATAAAAAAACAATTTAATATTTTTTTATATATATAACAACTTTATCTAATTATTGTAAAACAAGAAATATTTTTGTAAGAAACTAAGGTCAAATGATAAGATTACATATTTGGTCGCCAACATTACCCACCACGCGGCCCTGTGGCGCAACGGATAACGCGTCTGACTACGGATCAGAAGATTCCAGGTTCGAATCCTGGCAGGGTCGGGAATTATTTTTTTATAATTTGTTAAATATTTTAAGGTTTTTTATTAAAGTCTTCATTTTTTTCTAACATTTAACGAATGTAAAGGTTTTAAAAGAAATTATGTATGACTTTTGTTTTTCTTTCTTATTTTATGTACCTACATATTATGTATCAGAACGTAATTCATTTTCTTCATTCGTTTTTATAGGTTTTTAATGAAGAAGTAACAAACATACATACATATACACACAAACTTTCGCATTTACAATTTTCTTGAGAGTGTATAACGTCTTTATACCAAAAATAATAATAAAAATTAACATGTCTGAAACATGCGTAATATATCCTTTAACTGCCTCGATGGTGTAGTGGCTAGCAAGTATGGCTATACACCCGGAGGTCCTGGGTTCGAGTCCCGGGTCGGGCCAAGTTTAGTTACTGAGTCTTTCTGTATAGTAAGCCTCAGTAACAGCCCGGAGTTGGGAAGTTGGCGGTGTTTCACCCCCGTGCCTCAGAGAGCACGTAAAGCCGTCGGTCCTGCGCCTTAACTCTCACTGGTCGTGTCGAGTGGTCGTCCCACCAGAATATGAGAGTGACAGGAATAGAGAGTGCACCTGTGTCTGCGCGTGTGTACGCGCAAGTGTTTGTGCACTATAATATCTCCTGCGCAGTTGGCTAGTCTCAATGAGATTGGCCGCCGTGGCCGGAATCGGCCGGGAGAACATCATCACATATCCTAAGACAGTTGTAAACTAACGACAACTAACGAAGAGAACGACTGACAATGAACAATATTATTTAGTTTTGTAATCAGTCCTTTTTAACGTCCTACTTACCACGGACCGGGATTCAGTGTGAGGATTAAGCCATAGTCCTCCACGCTGGCCAAGTGCGGGCGGACATGTCTTTCGAAAACTTGCTAGGCTCTTTTAGAAATGCAGGTTTCCTTCACCGTAAGATAAAATGTGGTAATCACGTTGAAAGTGATTCGTATATGAAAATATCAGGGGTGCCAAACTCGGGATTTGAATCCGCTTCACTCAGTTTCCCAAGTGAGCGCGTTACAACTGGGTTATTACTGCTCATTATATACATATATCTAGCGACTCACTTCGCTTCGCTCGGGGTCATCCCTGGTTTTCGCGGCGCACTGTCATAGCCAAATTTTAGAAACCTTAGGCCACATTATTGCAATTTTCGTAGAAGTATCTGATTTTTTTGAAAATAAAATATGGCCGATTTTACTCGCTGATATTGTTATCTTTTGATAGGTAAAAGAATTTTTAAAATTGGTCCAGTAGTTTTTTAGTTTTATCATTACAAAGAAATACATAAAACATTTTTTCTCTTTATAATATTAGTATAGATGTAGATTTAGTTTTAGTAATTAATAAATCGGGGTGTCTCCAGGAAAAGCGCGATCTAATAACCGGTCTGAAGACGCGCACGAACGCGGGCCGCCCCAACTGGGACAAGGTGTTCCAGCGCGTGCGCGCGCAGCGCCGCGGCGCCGTCACCGTGTTCTACTGCGGGCCGCCGGCGCTCGGCCGCGAGCTGCGCCGCAAGGCCGCGCGCTTCGGCTTCGGCTTCCGCAAGGAGGTCTTCTAGTCATCGCCGACTACGTGGGTGAGTGGGGCTGCTTTACAGTCGCTGTCTTGCGCGCGCTATGGCTTCAGGAAAGAGATGTTCTAGACCAGCACCTCATTCCTTCTTAGCACGGAACCCTAATTGTCAGAGATGAAGCATTGTTTCCAGATTTTGGTTCCCGATGTGTCTTGCTTATTTTACAATAATGGTCACGGGAGAAATTTTGATACAAAATAGAAAATATTTAACATTAAATTATTACAACTCTTTACTGAATAACATGAGTCTACCACCAGTTTGGAAAGAAGCCTCAATCAAACTAGAAGAAAACTGGCGAAAAAAACTCGGCGAGACTAAAAATATTGGTAAGGATTGTTGTTGTGTTGAAAACCAAAAGTTAATTAAATTGACAAAAGAATACGATGAAATAGTTTTATTTAAAATAGCAAATACTCGCGTAAGTGTTAAATGTACATTAGGATATTATAAAAACCCATACCATAGACGGTCAGCCATTGATTTCAAAGGAAAAGGTGATATATTATACGAATTATTGATGAGAAACTATTTTTAACTCAATATTCTTTTGTAGGATTTTTAACTGAATAAGTTATTAATTAATACTTTCTTAGATTTACGCGAATATTTGACGTTTAAAAAACGATGTTTTCGCTTTCTTTCGCGAATTTATTTTGATTTTTGGTTCACGACGCGACGCGCGACGTTTCGAATGCTTTACAGCAAATTTCATGGTCACGAAAGAGACCATGATTCCTGTTAAGCATTTGATACATCCGGAGCCAAGTTTTTATTTGTTTGCATTAATTGTTAGAACGTACATATATTTAAATGCAAGTGATATACAGCAAGATCCTATATAAGTGTTAATTCAATCAATTAGATATTATAACGTACCTAATCAATATTTGTATTAACACCGTGTTTTATAATTTCCTATTAAGAAATTTAGGTTATTTTCATTTTAAACTATTTAAATAAAACTTAAAACTCAAGCTCAGCACACTGTCTAATACATAATTGATCTAGCGTTTAAAATTCTTTAAAAGTTTATAAAAACCGTGTAAGTTAATTGTCAAGATAATTTATTTACGTATGAATATTTTGTAATAGATTTAAATCGAGAATTTACATCTAAGTATGTTTTGATTTTAATGACTTACGTTGCTCGCACTGAACCATGTCGTTTTTGTTACCGAGTTAAATCTATTACAATGTTTTTATCGTCTTAAACTTTTGTGTTGGACTGTTTATGTCTTACTTCTAAGATGGGTTTTATTAGCAGAATATGGTGTATGTAGTAAAAATCTAATATAATCTAATAAAAGATATAGTAAATACGTAAAATTGCGAGAAACGATAAAACAGATTGATAATATTAGTCTTCCGACTAGTAAGGAAAATGTAGGAAATATAAAAGATTTGATTTTGATTTATTTATATCTTTCTGAATATTATATTAGTAAGTTAAAATTTATTCGAATTAATTCCATTAGTAAAAAATGTATTAATTTATAGCAAATAACTGGATATATAAGAAACTGTTTAATGCGTAGAAGTAGTTCGTAGAATAAGGTAATAATATTGCTAAACTAGCGACTCACCCTCTCTTCGCTCGGGTTCGTCCCTAGATACGTTTTAAAGGTTAGTATAGATTTTTTAGAGATGAGATATTTTCCCGCAATAAAGAGTATTCTATATGCTGACCCGGATAACCAACTATCATCATTATACCAAATTTCATCAAAATCTGTCATATTATTTATATTAGTTACGTATACCTAATTTATATATTTTATATACGTATATAAAATATCATACGTATATAAAATATCATATGTATGTATATATGTATTTATCATTTTTATTTTTCTTATCTCTGTTACTTGTTCACACCCTTCCACTTCACACTTTGCTATATCCTACACCTAAAGGTTGCCTGGAAGAAATCGCTGTTTTAGCGATAAGGCCGCCTCTTGTGCATTTTGCTACTACTGTATTCTTCTTTTTTTATATTTCTTCCTATGTTGTGTGTGCAATAAAGAGTTTTTATTATTATTATTATCAGTGGTTTTCTCGTGATGTGTTCCCAGACAGACACACAGACAGACAAAAATTTCTAAAACTACAAATTCGACCTTTATGTCGATAATAATGATTATTTCGATAAGATTATCCAAAAAAAATTAATGTGCTGATTCGGCTTAGTTAGAATTTTATTATATGTAGAGATCCAGACCAATAAAATGTATTGATTTAAAAAAAACTAATTTAATAATCAATCCACCCCTATTTGTAAAATTTTTACTTCAGATTGATATTACATAAGAAGTATAATTACCACCTCGCAGTTAATTTCTAAGAAATTAATTGTTAGCCGAGCCATCTGTGGCTCGGCGGTCGTTGACAGGTCACCGACGAATGACGATTGAGCTGACATTTTCTCAAATAGGCTAATCAAGAATGAGATTTAGCATATTTGTGAATATGATGGTTGACGATTGAATGATATTATGTAATATATGTATGTACATTCTACACATAACAACAAATACCCGAGTACTTAGTTTTTGAAGTCGGCCAAATGGCAATTACAAAAAAAATTAAAAATAAGTCGTAATAAAATGCGATAAAATGTATCTCAGTCAATGAATAACTTTTATATTATGATGAATATTAACATTAAGTAATATTATTGATATTATTATAAATATTATATAAAGTATGTTGATGTTATGTTATCGTCATTTATTTTGATTATTTTTTTAATTTTAACCTACTTCCAAAAAAGAGGTGTACTTTCGTCTGTATGTTTTTTGTATAAATTGTGATTTACTTAGGGTTGGTACTTCATGATTTTTTACTGCCATGATTTATGTGTTCCAATATACTTTTTTATATTAGTTTAGAATATTTATAAATAATATTAAATGAGCAATTCCTGTATATAAATTTATTTCTTGTATCTCAGAAACGGCTCTAACGATTTGGATCAAATATTGTATTTAGATAAGATTTTGCTTTTTAAGTTTAAGGAAAAAAAAACTACCAAGTTCCCTCCTAAATAAACACACTCTTACTACTAAATTAGACGATGAGTTGCTCAATTAACCTTTTAATATGTGAGAGTGCCTTTGTACTTGTATATTAAAATTTTAAACATACTTCTGCTACTGAAATCATTAGTTACTAATATATAGGAAAATTATTACAGTATTTTGCTAAGAAAATGGTTATAGTTGTGAACAAAGTATTTTTTATTTATTATTGTTTATTTATCGATTAAAAACATAAGAAAGTGAAAATCAATTCAAATATAAATTTCAAAGACGCCTGAAAACGCTATCCCATATCAAACCGCCATAAAATGACATAATATTAGGTTATTTATTTAAGAAAACTTTTATAAGTTGTAAAATATAAAATTAATAGAAAAACAGTGGAGCTTTTTTTGTTTCGCTTTTTATCATTTGTATATTTTAATATTAATTTTTAATATTAGCACAAGGAATAATCAAAAGTATGGGAATATTTTCATTAGGTACAGTAAAATAAAAAATTGTAAAAGTGCTTCTATATAAAATGCCATTAGTATTTAGCTAACTTTAAAGTAACAGCTAGTAAAGAACTAAGCGGGCTTAGCTATATGATTTGGGGGAGAATGGGGCTAGGTTCCACTTTTTCGGCTAATATAGAGATTTTTTTTTATTGTTAAGCTAACGACTTATGCTTCGTTCGGATACGTCCATAGGTACGTTTTAATGTTTTTTAATTATTTTTATATTTTTTAAAGAGGAACCCTAATTGTTTTACTAAAATGTAGTTGAATGTAGATGTAGTAGCTTAAATTACTCCTTATAACATCAGCTATCTGCCAGTGAAAGTCTCGTCAAAATCAGCCCAACCGTTTCGGAGATTAGCCGGAATAGACAGACAGACCAAAATAAAAAAAACTGTGTGTTTCTTCTAAGTGCCGTGTATAATTTTATATGCAATAAATAAAATGCTGACACTTCAATTTTATGTATCTGTGTAGATTAGGCCATAATAAATGTATACATTATTATTTTCTATTTTTGTAATAAATTAATCACCATGTATTATATTGTATGTTTTAGTACTAAATTAAGCAAATAGCAAACTGTGTTTATTTATATGTCATATGTATTATAATTATTAGAAATAAAGCATTCGATAGCGTATTTTCAAAGCTCTAAAAGCTCAAAGAAAATATGTTTGTTTACGTTTTCATTGTAAAATATTAGTTGTAAAAATGTGTAAATTATGTTTAAAAACTTAGTATATAAGTCAAAAATGTATATTTATTTTAGTAACTAGATAAAAGTTACCGGCCATATGTTAATTAAGTACCTATATAATATATTTATTTGTATATAATGTTACGCACTGTGCATATCGAGAGTTTATTTAATTAAACTGCGATTGTTATCAACTGAGTTTTTTTATTTATCCCATAATTTATTCTCTGCCAGCTATAGTCCAATCAATATAGGAAAAAAATGGCGAAATCTACATAAAATAGAACAATTTCCGCGATATTGCCATTCGATAAAGGGGCATTTTCTAAGCCTAAAGCCAAGTTCGAGAAATGCTCGAGAAATATCCTTAATAATAAGTCCTTCTAATTTGATTTATAACAAAAAAAATGTAGCAAAATAGGAGAGAAATAGAACCACTATAACACCGAAATGCTTTCAACTCTACGTTATCAAAGTCATTTAATCGAATGCAACTTTCATGCGCATGCACGTATATTTTTAAGTAATTTTTCGTTTATCTTAACACTAGCAACTCTCCCTTGCTCGCTCGGGTTCGTCCATACCTGTACTTTTTAACGGTTAACATGGAATAGATAGAGTATATATATGTATATTATATACATAGGTATGATGAGTTCTATATCCCTTACTTGAGAAATGATTGATTCCCCATATAAATTTTCGTCCTCCTTTTTAACCCCTAAAGTGGTGATTTTCGGG